GGATCATCCCCTTCCCCCCAAACTTCATGAACTCGTTGACTATCCCATCCGCTCCTGCTGCTTTGTGGCACTTCATCTTGTCCACACACGCCTCAACCTCGTCCTCAGTGAACTCCTTTTCTAGTTCTACGTTCCCAACGTCTGCCTTCGATGTCTCTTCTTCTTTTTGGGCCCATGCGTCCACCTCCTTCTTAAAACACTTGGTCAAAAGCTTCATTCTCCGAGGGCACTCCAAGTTTATTGTAGTTTTTTCCCTTCCCACGGCTGACTAATCCACCGTTCACACTTGGCAAAGTTGCTACCCCTGTCTCCCCCCCTTGGGCGGTCTTTTTTAACATTCCACTAATCCCTTCCCTCATCTGCTTGACGTTCCCCTCCAGGCCTCCGTTGGCCTTCTGCACTACTTCGTCCCAAATACACTTTTTCTTCTTTTTCACTAGTCCCTTCACCTGTTTTCTCTTGGCCCTGTACTTTTCCCAACTCTCCTCAGACGCCTCACTCAGGTACTGCTTGAAGACTTCTCTACGTTCCCCTATTTCTTCTTCCAGCTCGTCATCCCACCACTTAACCGATACCTCACATCGTACCACCTTCTTTCCCACTACTCTCTCTGCCGTTGCGTTCACGATGGACTCCCGGGTGCGCAAAAATATCAAGAACGGCATGATTTGATCGTATTTCCGCACCGGTATCAGTGTTATCGCACCAGTGCAATATCAACGGTGTAAAATCTGCTCAGAACGAAATCTTGCGTGCTTCCGCAAGGTACCGGTACCCTCTGGGCCACGTGTCGAACAGTTAGTTATGTATTGCGGTTGGCAGGTACCAATTGGGGCGCCATTTCATTGATGTATATCGTACCGTCGTGGTTTGCGCAGCAGAAATGATTTTTTTGTTTCTTCTACGGTAATGTGTACATCGAACGCACTCACTCACTCAACCAAGCACACAGCGGTACACATCCCGAACCTCCAACCAACCGAACAAGAAGGAGTTTCGTAAACGGTACCACAATTACACCGGTACCATGCCCCTTGAAGCAGACAAAGACAGACGGAAGCACCAGCCAACAAAAGAGGGGCTTTCGACCAACAAAGAGGCTGGAAGAATAACGGTACCCCGCCGTATACATACCTTCCCCAGCAGGGAACCACAGCGTCTGTTCCCTTTGGCGCACGCCACCCCAAACTCGGATTCGACCTCATCACTATCATCACTCCGGGCTGGTTGCATGGTACCGCCTACGCAAGCTCCTACTGCAAGAGCAACAGCACGCAAGACGAAGAGATCCACGCCTGTTCGTTTCTCGAGTATCGCACCTATCGGTGTCATTNGCACCAGCCAACAAAAGAGGGGCTTTCGACCAACAAAGAGGCTGGAAGAATAACGGTACCCCGCCGTATACATACCTTCCCCAGCAGGGAACCACAGCGTCTGTTCCCTTTGGCGCACGCCACCCCAAACTCGGATTCGACCTCATCACTATCATCACTCCGGGCTGGTTGCATGGTACCGCCTACGCAAGCTCCTACTGCAAGAGCAACAGCACGCAAGACGAAGAGATCCACGCCTGTTCGTTTCTCGAGTATCGCACCTATCGGTGTCATTGCACCGTGGTGCGCTCACTCAGCACCGCATCATGGCCACTGTGATTTCTTCCACATCGCACCCATCGGTGTCATCGCACCGGGGGTGCTTTCGAAATCTAGAACGAAATGATTTAATTGCATTTCCGCACCGGTATCGGTGTTATGGCACCCATCGATGTTATGGCACCGGGGTGCGATAAAAAAACAAGATAGGAATGATAAAAAAACGATCGCACCCCGGTTCCATCACACGCACTTTTACGGGTACTGTACTCGCGTCGTCTGCCTTTTATCTACTCTATGAAACCGCCACACCTTTGCACCGTTGCCTAGACTGAAGTCCCATTGGCCAACGGGGCAGGTAGTCTTCCGCCTGGTGCAAAACGCGCAATTGGCTAGACTGTGTAGGAGTAAGTCTGCGTCTGTGCGCTTATTTTTATTTGTACGAAGGAGGAGTACAGGAACGAAACACATGGCCACAATTCGGCATTTACCGCCCCACCACTCAGAAGAACTACCGCCCTACGATAAGACGAAAAGGGTGCCCGCAAAGCACCCAATAGGAAAAGGGGATACGGTTCGTAGAATGAGAAGGAGCCAAGATTCCACACGGTTTCGAGCGCGGGACGACTTCCCAGAGCACTTGAATGATGGTGGTGTCTTCTCAAGAAAAGGGAACGGTACATTATTCCCGAGGAGAAAGAAGTGTGGTCAACGGTGAAGCGATCATGGCCAGCAACCGAACGAGTGCTCCCCCGCCGCCGCCGTCCGCACGTGCCTTCCTGTTCCCACAGGTTCAGGTACAAGAAGCCAGACATCAGCTCTGCGGTCGTGAGGGTGAGCAACGTGTTGTCAGTACACGTGCGATGTTTGCCGCCGCATGTGTGAGCGCTTTGCCTCGACAACGCTGACGCTCTGCGCACGAATAGGACGAATGATGATGAGTAGACCAACTTTCATCTCCGCGCCCTAGGGATTCTCGACCAATCAGAGCCCGATGGCAACGAATTCGACCAATGAGAAAGCCGCCGGTGCTTCTTTCTGGCGCTTTTGCTTTTTCCCCCTCAGGAACGGTGGGACAGTAACCTGACTGCCGAGACGAACATGGCCAAGATGGGTCTAAGGCAGAGCGCAAACAGAGATATCCGGGCACCGGCAAGGCGGGCTGCTGCTAGCGCCGCGCCAGGGGGGAAAATTGTCGAGTCCTGCGAGGTTTCGAGATTATTTGGTAAGAAAAAAACTGTGTGGTACGTGCTGTTATATAACCCCTCCATACCCCACCCTCGGCCATGCTCTCCCACGATAGTCCTGGTCCATGCAACCTCGGGAATGTTGAGAGAATGGAAAAGGGACGGCAAGCGTCGACAGCAGAAACTATAACGATAGCAACAACAACTGCAACCACAGCGAATGAGGGAGCACCCAACAGAGAGACGCTGGAAGCCCTCCCTCTGACGATTCTAGGGGTGATACGTGATGGACCGGCGGAATACGCTGACAATGATGTTACACCTACCTGCTGTAATTGTTACCTACTTTTGTCGACGCTCCCCACACGCCACGCCTTGCGAGAAGCTAACTCTTGATCGTGGTTGCTTTGTCCGACTTTTGCTTGCTGTCTTAGCATCCAGGCTCCCCGATAAACACCTCACCTCCGGAGTAGCTTCTCATTGGTGGCGGTACTACGCCCACTCCCAGCCACCGAAATGGCCTTGAGATGAACACTAGCAGGTTTTCACGTATTGCTTACACCACCTTGGCCGGCGACATGTCATGTTTTTACCGCGCGTTTGCTGATGACTCCCGTTTCTTGTTTTTTCGTTCGAAGTGCTAGCACGGTGGGTTTTTGTGTTGTGTGGCGCCCCCCCCCTTGCTCGCTCCAAGGCTGAGGTGAACGAAAACCCTCTCTCAACCTTCCCCGGCTCTGCCATCATTAATGTAGCTTCGCTTTTGAGACTGGAAACACCCCCCAACATGTAGAATATGGTGCAAGGGAAGTCAAGAACGCCCTAATATCGGGTGATGTCCCTCATGATGAGGAGCATATATACTACGAATAGTGTACACGGTTTCTTCAGCGGTGTACGCTTACGCGATCAACGGTCAGATGCAAGCATCCAAATCGGATCCAAATCGGGTAACCCCGGCCTCCGCAACCCCTCCCCCCCTCCCTCCACACGTTTTTCTTCTGGTGCGGGAATGTGCGTCCTCGCCTTACCGCTTGCTTCACGCCTCACCGGTGCGCGGTGCAGACGTCGCGGACACCGCAGACCTGAAGGTGATCGACCGGAACTATGGGCGGCGGCCGATGTCGGACGAGGACCAGCGGTACATGGCCAAGCTCCTCTCGAAGCACGGTCTCGATCACGAGGTCTGTCTGTGAAATTTGCTCTAGGATCAGTGTGAGGGTTAGGCCCTTCGTCGCTTGCACCAGCAAGGATTGTGCGCGGTTCCTTGTCTTCCGGGGGCATGAAGCGGCGACAGCAGTAAACGTGTGTGTATTTTGAGTAGACGTTGTGTGTTGTTGCGGAATAGGGGCGGCGCCTTGCCGTGCGAGGGGAGGAGGGATGTCCCTTTTACTTTCCCGCCGCGTCATGATGCCGTGCGCCACGCACGCGAGGGTGCTTGTGTGGCGTCTCGTTTTCCGCTGCTGTCCCCTCCCGTGTGTTTTCCCTTTCCCCCCATTGTCCTTGATCAAGTCCTCTGCGGTATCTACACTGTCTCTCTACATCGTTATCGTTATCTCTCTGTGAAAAGAGGGACTCGTCCTTGGCAGACAGACATTCGGATATGTATACCCCATTTTGATGGTGTCACTTCCTCCCCCTCTTTTCTTTGCCTCTCGTGCTTGCGCGGCAACCGAATGGCTGGCGGCGAGTCGATGCATTGCTTCACATTATTCTGTGCGTGTTTAACGGGTACGCGACGCACCCTACGTCGCCAGAGAGTTTTTCCACAAGAGCGCCGGGATCGCTGTTTTTGCCCCCCCCACTATGCGAAGACCGTGTTCATGTAGTCGCGGAATGTCAGTTGTACGAAGACGGGAGGGAAGTGAACATGACTGAGCTGGGAAAAAAACAAGGGACGTACAGGGAGATGTTTGAGGCATGGAATAGAGAGGAGAGGACGGTAGCTGTCCTGGGGAGCATGAAGTGGTTTGAAAAGGCGGGAAGGGATATCGATAGATAGGCTAGGGCAGACATTTTTGAGCCACCTTTGGCAAAGTAGGAAGGAACGATTGGCCATCGTTGATCGGTCCTGTGGGAACAATACTCCGTCCTCTCGAGGACGCGTAATCAATGGATTCACCGCTAAGGCATGCACAACACAAGAGAATAAGAGCACTATCTTTCGGGTGGGAGGAGGGATTGGAGCGTTGGATCACCTTAACACTATCAGACATGTCACCGCGACGCCATTGTGTAACGAGGTAATCACCCTGGACGGGCGTTGGGGAGATGTAACAACCCTTCTCGAGGCCATCTCGACATCGTTGCCCATTTCGCTCTCCTTGTTGCCTTCCCATCCGGCCACTCGCTCTCAATTTTGTCTGCTGTGCCCGTCTCTCCCCGTTGATTCTGAAAAAGGCCATGGCTCGAGATATCAAGGTGAACTACAACCAGCTCACGCTCGGACAGTTACGGCGCATGTGCGACACGCTCCTGTCCCTCGACGAGGAGCAGCGAGTGGTGACCTTACCCGAACGAGTCGCGAACGAGGCCGCCAAGGCGGCGTCCAGAACGGCAGCTGGCGGTGCCGCCGCCGCTACCGGCACAAGTCCCTGCCAGAGCAGGAGGGTTTCAGTTTCAACACCGGTGGCGATGGAAGTAGGGGAGGCGTCTGTTGATGACGGAAAGGAGAAGGCGCAAGAGAACAAAAGCAAGGGCAAAGCTGCGAAAAAGAAGAGAAAAGCTCAGCTGTAGCGATCAAGGCTCATTGGGTGTGTAGGTTTCTGCCCGTACAACGGGGTGGCGGCCGGTTCGCCGTGTTGTTTGTTTATCTCGTTTGAGAGGTGGGGAATTCATGCAGTAGCTGTCAACGGGTGCCGTGTGGCGTATTCAGCAGTGTTGGCAGCGAGGGAACGTTGCAGAGGGATTGCTGCAGTGTGAGAAGTGGAGTACCGCGTAGTACTAGTTTATATGCTTTAGTCGACTGGTATTCGTATTCCGTGTTGACCAAAGGTTACCCTCCAGTCAACACGGTCAAATGAGAAAACCACGACTCATCCAACTCCACCTCTCCCGTCTCCGCTGTGGAGACAACAATCCATATTCCAGCCATTCTACTATCGAGTAGCCTCAACTCCGTGTGTGATGGGGTAGTCGCTCGTTGCAAAATGGCCCCCTTCCAGGGACCTTGATTTTCACCCGCTGGCACTGACGTCTTTTAATTGGTCAGCCGGTTCGCGCGGTCGATGCTAATAATAAAAAACACTTACAGCAGTCTTGTAAACACAAACAAAACCCCATCGCCGCCAGATTTACGGTCTACAATCAGAGCCTGCCGCCGACTGTCGTCTTGGGCGCCATTGACATTCCGGAGGCGCCGCAACACGAATATGTTGTTGTATGTACTGCAATGGATTGGCCCTTCCGGCGTAAGTATCGGTGTGGTACCGCGAAAACCATGGTTTGCCAGAATGCGTGAAAAGCTGTGTTAGTTCGGCAGTAGTAGTCCTGTCGAGGAAGGAAGATACGTTTCTCGCTGTCCACCGTGGGAGGGATTTTGATAATCCTTCAAACGCACACACCTTTACCTCTGCACCTCTCCACACTCCACAGGGCTCCTGTGCTGTAGTGGGCCATCTTTCGGGCGGGTATAAACTATGTGCCCAGAGGCCGCTTCATTCACCCGCCCTCCAGCAGTGCCGGCCCCCGGCGGCAATAGTCTATAAAGCAGCAGTAGAATACTGCTGTATCATGTTCAGGTCAAGAGAGTCTGTCTACCCACCTCATATTTGGCCCACTGGGCTGCACTATGTTGTTGTTGTTGTTGTCTTCACATTAAAAACCATCCCGGTCTCTCTATCCAGTACCTCCTTCTGTCTCAATCTCTCCGTACTAATCCATCCTATACTGCTGTATATGTACAGGTACAGTATTCTAGTCCAGCCCAAGTACGGGCTTTCGCCTGGCGTGCATCCGTGTTCTCGGCCTGCGGTCCTTTCTGGCTCCCTCTCCCTATGGTCTATGACGTATATATGTCAAGGCCATGGACTATAGCCTATATACGTCATAGACCATAGCCCTCAACCCGCTCTCATCCCGTAGCTCTGGGTCCCCGATCCCCGGCCGCCACTTAGGCGTGTTTTGTTCTCCTCATCTCCGATCTCCGATCACACGGAAGTCCTTGAGCCACGACCTGTCGAACGCTGATTGGTCGGGAACGGTCTTCGGTCTAATCTAGAATAAAAGAGGGAACGAGGCAACACACAAGAGCGACGACAGGAGAAGGGAACTCCCGCATAAAACTGGGACCAGCCTTCCCACACACGCAAACGATACTCGAAACGAAGAGGGAGCTACGCACGAAGCCCAGCACACGGACCAGGTAAGGACCCCACGGGCATCTACGCTGCGGCGATCTTGCATGCGGAGATGGAGAGCGCGTGGGAGCTTTTCGACTGTGTCTGCGTTTTGTGTTTCCGTGGGTTTTCTCAACACCCCTGCCCCGAAAAACAGATCGGGCAGCGCGGATGCCGCTGTCTCCCCTGCCCGAGTCGGGAGACTTGCCACAGGAAACGTTGCCCCAGTTCACCCTGTCCCGCTTGGGCGCGGCGTTTGGTAGGGGGTCCGAGGACAGTTGACGGTGTGGCACGGGACAACGGCGGGTTGTTGACTTACGCAAGGCAGCGTGATCGTGGCATTTTTGGGGTTGGGTTCCTGTTGAGTCAACTCGAGAGAGTCCACTTTTGGGCTCTCTTTGGCACGCCGAATAGCGAACAAGCGCACCTCAGGCGTGTCTGTAGGTCACGGATCCGGGTAGAGCACCTTTGGGTCTGCTCGATGCTGTTTGGTCGGGATGATTTGGGTCGCGCACGGGTGTATCGTTTTATTTTGAGTTGGCGTCATGATTAGAGTTTCTTCCGAAGAAAATGCCCGCCCTTGTGTGTGACCCGCTTTTTTTTTGTGTCTGCCCCTGCGACAGAGCCGGCGGTGTTGCCTCGTCTGTGTAGACAAAGTGCAGAAATTAGGTGACCCTGCAATCAGGAGCTAACCACCGAGTTTCTGTCCTCTCCCTCACGCCTCGCTTCTGTTTGGTCGCCTTGACCTACGACAGGGAAAAACCTCCTACAAAAATAGCACCTCGCACATCTGCTCGGGAAAACAAGCCAGCACGAGGCGGGCGTTGGCAGGCGAGACAAGGCCGGACAAAAGGGAGAAAGCAAACGCACAAAAAGAGAGACGGGCTCGCCGGCGTCAGAAAATGTGAGCCCCCCTCGGCTACAGCCGTGTTAGAGATCTCAAAGAAGAGCAGAATTTTCGTAGGGAGGTCTCGAATATCAAGGCGCGGCTGGGCGGAGTCTTTTTGTTTCCCCGTGTCTTGTCTATATGGTACGTTCAAACGTTCAAACTTGGAAGCAGCTGGCCATCCTCGCATATTGATGTCATCTCCGAGTACTTGCTATTGATCTGGTGTTTTCTATGCATTCAACAGTCGCGATGAAGTGTGGTACCATGAATCCCAGAGAGGAGGGAGGCGCCTTGGCAATGCATGGTCCGTGTTTCTATCGTTATCGTTGCGGCGGCTCTGCTTTTGTCGGTGTCAAGCTTAACTCTTGCCAGGTAGACAACCGCTTGTTGAGTTCTGTAGGCCTACTCTACAGCAGAACTTCAGAGGCAGTCGTTTGTAAGCTGCAAAGTAAATTGGTAAATTGTCCCTGGTGCCGAGTTCATTGTCACACTGCGGCAGAGGGCGTAACCCCTCACCGATGTTCTTGCGTCGCACACCCGCCCCGCCCCGAGCTGCCGCTGCTCAATGTGTGCTGATCTAAAATTGTCCGATGATGCCCCCACCCGCCGCCGTCCCTCTTCCACCATGCAGGACAGCGCAGAGCCGAACGAATTCGTCCTCGCCTACTAGCGACTCTATGCACGCCTTCAAGGCGGCTATTGAGCGCAAGGTACGCACGTGTTACGATATCAGACCGCAGCTTTGTACTTGTCTGTAGGCGGTGGGGAGGCCGGCGCGTGCTTTCCCTGTGCTGGTGATGGCGTCTATTATGTAAGATAGTACCGCGTATTGCCCACGTTGAACTATGTATTTGTAGCATACCGTGGCGACATGCTTCGCAGGCACGAACGGCCTCACGGATACCGCGGTTGGTGACGTGCAAATCGGCTTTTGCCCTGCAGTGTCTCCTGCCGCAATTTCACCCTCCTAACAAGATCTGCAACCCCGCCCTCGCCATGCATCCCTCGCTCCTCCGCTTGCACCGCCGTTTAAATCTGCAGCCCAATTCAGAGCCCTACCGACGAGAGAAGGAGGCGATGTCAGTCCCCCATGACCAGCACCAGCCGCACGAGCAGCAGCAGCAGCAAGCGGCGGACGTGGCGGGAATCGTGAAACCCCAGGCGTGGTGCGCGGCGAACAGCGTGGAGCCCGACTCCCAGGACGATCAACAGCACCAGCAAAGATATAACAGCAAGCAACACGCGATGGTACTCGTAGCCGATGACCTCGCCGCCTCCGCCGAGGTGAAGCGGGAGGCCGGCGGCGGCGGCGGCGGTAGTGGGGCCGCGATCCCGATCTCCCCCCCGTCTTCGCCGACTCACGTCGCCCCGACCCGCCTTCCGGCGGCGGCCGAAGCCCAGGAGGTGGTGGCGGCGGTTGTCGAAGCGCCCAAGCCCGAGACAGCAGCGGCAGCAGCGGCGGCGCAAGCATTACCATCGCCGCCGGCGCCCGGTTTGCCCGCTTCGGCGGTGGCGGAGGGCGTCGGGGGCCCCGTGTCATCATCAGGGCCACCGGCGGCGGCGGTACCCGTGCGGCTGGGCCGCGGCCGGAAGCTCTGCCCCAGCTGCAAGGCCCTGACCAAGTCGGCGGTGAAGCAGTGCCGCCTGTGCCACCACGTCTTCAACCCGGTGTCCAGGATGCGGGCGCAGCACCGCGAGCCGAAGGAGAACGAGGACGCCCCGGTCCTCCCGCGCCGACGGCACCGGCCCTCACAACGCCTCCTGGAGAGCAGGGTGGTGTCCGCCGCCGCCGGCCCGCAAGAGGCGGCGCCGACGGGGGGCGAGGCAGCCGTAGGCCGAGCAGCCTCGGGGAGACGGCCTCTGGCCGCCTTTATGGGCGGCGGGGACACGAACCAGCGAGTGGCTTCCGGCGCGATGGCGGCGACTCCGGTGGCGACGAACAAGACGGGCGCGGTTTCCGCCAGCGGGGAACAAGCACCCAAGCGCAGCCACAAGCGCAAGGTGCCGCTGCCGCCCGGGGTGGTGCCCCCGAAGCGCAAGAAGGGCGCGGCGGCGGCGGCCCGGTTGGCGGCGGCAGAGAAAGCGGCAGAGAAAGCGGCGACCGCGCCGGCCGCCGCCTCCGAGGTCACCGGCCCTCACGGTATACTTCCCCGACTGAGCCTGCCCGAGCGGCAGCGTGTGGCTGAGGACCTGGTGGCGTCGCCGGCCCCTTCGCACGTGCTGGTGCCGGAGTCGCCGGAGCTGGCGCCGACAGCGACGCCCGCCGGGCCCCTGTTGTTCATTGCCCCTCCCCCGGCTTCGCCTTCGTCGAACTCCCCGTCCTCGCTCGAGGACGACCCCGAGTGGCTGCCGCACAGCGGAGTGATTGTGTCGCCCGCGGCGGCCTTTGTGCAGCAGCACCAAGAGCGGCAACAGGAGCAGCTGCAGCGGTGGCAGAACCAGCAGAACCAGCTGTACCTCGCGGGAGCGGCGACTTCTCTGACGGGCCTGTTGCTCGGGGACAACCAAGAGGAGGAGGAGGAGGCGGAGCTTGCCCTTCCCGTGCGAAGACACGAAAGTGGCGGCGGCGAGATTGACCTAGACTTGTCCGCGGATTGCCAAGACAGAGACCCGTTCGCGGGCGTAGAGATAACGTGGTTGGAAAACGGCGGGGGCGGCGAAGCGGCGGTAGGGAACCCCACTGCTGCCGGCGGAGGCGGCGGCGGAGGCGCGCCGACGGTGTTTCCCCTGGTGTCGCGAGATGGAACGACGATGGAGCAGGTAGGAGAGGGGAACTCAGCGGCGGCGTGGTGGTGGCTGGCTGCAAACTGACCACATGGATTATT